GAACTGGCAACAGCCTTGCGGAGCTGGCGGAGGCACTTTGGCCGAGCACGAGAAGTTGGGGCCAGTATTCATTATCATGCTGTATCATGCTGTATCTATTGTTTTCGTCGATTCTATTCGCATCCAAGGACCATGGCTTCATGGCTCCATGAAGCCTGGGTCGCCCAGCTGTTGCAGAAGGCCTCTCATGGAACATGTCATGGAACGCAAATGAACGCAAATCCAACAAGGCAGTCTGAGCCATCTGTCATCATCTGTCCATCTAGGCAGCCATAGGCAGCCATAGGCAGCCCAAAATCAAAGACCGAATTCTGATGCTTTCTGTGTATTAAGTGCATCCATCATCGTTCATCTTTCCAACATGGAAAGACAATGAAAGACATGACATGACAGCTCTTTGATTGGGATAGTTTTGGAACCACTTGCCATGTCATCGCTTTCGATGTTGTCGATCTTGAAGGCCATAGCCGCGGCTCTTTTCTGAGGAGGTGGCCTTGTGTCCGCGGCCTTGCTCTTGTTGTCCTCGTTTTCGAGCCACTTCTTTTGTAAATCCCCAACCTCCTGGGCCTTTGTCTCGATCTGGTAGCGCCACCACTCCAAGTTCAGAGTCTTCTTCCAGGAAGCCACTACCTCCTTTGCAACAGCTTCGGCCAAGCCCTGAGGGTACTCTGCCGCCAACGAAGTCATCTGTTTTCCGATCAGAGGGACATGTTTAATCCATGCAGGACACCTGCAAACCTTCTGAAGTTTTTCAATTCCTGAAAGTCTGCCTGCCCAAACCCCTGGTTTCAAAAACCGTTGTTTTTCTTTCACCATGAAGGCGCATGAGTGATAAGGAATTTTAACTCCTTTCGTCTCTTCCAGTGCCTTTTGAAGTTCCGGTAGGTCCCACGCCCCTCCTGATTCTTCACTTCCAGGAGGGTTCTCAAGAGTTGCCAACGGGGGGACTTTTCTGGCTTCGCACGCTCTCACCTGCTCCTGGTAGATGTCCCCCGCCTGCGTCGCCATCCTCGTGCCCCTGTCAGCTTCAGCCTGTTGTTGTGGGGTATTGCCCTGGTACCCATAGATGTTCGCCTTATCCCTGACAGGACCAGGTTGACCAGGGGTCGCATTGTGACGTGCCATGCTGAAGCTACCACATGGAAAGCCTGCATGTGTGTAATCCCACTCCCCTCTGGCTACCTCTTGCTTGATTGCCGTGGAACTTGATGGCTTTGATAAGTCCAGGGTTTGGTCAATTTTGTTGTCCAAGCTCAAGACAACAGTTTCCAGTCTGTTCTTGGCCGCCTCGATCTTTATGGCTTGTCCCAAAGGGTCATTTGGGCCGCTATACATGTGGAGGAACTTGAAGGGCCTGTTTCTTCTGAAATCCTCAAAGTTCTTTGAGCTCTTCAAAGCTGAATGAACTCTCATCGGCCTCATGATGCCCTCCTGGAACGTTGGCTCCCTGATGTTCTCGGGACCACCGCCATGGCTAACGCCGGGCTCTTCATCCGCATCGGCGGGGGGCGGCGACGGTTCATCGCCATCCCCAAAATCCACCGAACACGGGCTACCGCCCTCTTTCTCCACTGCGTCAGCCATGACTGCAGATCCCATAAGGTTTCACTGCCAATTGTTTTGTTGGTTTGTAAGTTCAAACTCATTGCAATTCCAACTGACGTGACATGAAAATCAAAAAACAGTCAAATTGCAAGCACACACAAAAACAAAAAATCGGCACACCCAACCTGCCTAAAGAATCCACCGGCATCAACAACGATCGACGACCCACCATTTTCCCAGTCCTTCGAAATGTCCTGGTGATGTCAAGTTCACGTCAAAGTCATCCCTTCGGGCACGACGCGTCTTGGTGAGACGGTGAAAGGCACTTGCGGCATTTATGAACTCGTTTGATCGCTGCAGCACACTCAGCGCCAGGTGGAAGATTTCCACATGTTCCTGTGCCGGCCGCCCAAGAGAAACACAATGGTGCTCCCGTCTGATCCTTGCTCTTAGATTTTCCTTTTCCGCCTGAATCTTTGCCACCACCGCTCTGTTGATGTCCTTTCCCCTGAGATTGTCTGAAAGTCCTCAACTCTTCCATGTCCGCCTGGATCCTTTTCTTCTTCGCAGACCTGCGATCCCGATTGGCTTGCCTGCGCTTTCCATCATCGTGATCAGTCCCCCCACCTTGAGGAACCGTGTCTTGAAGTCCAGGAACGTGTGGTGTGCCTTCACAGCAGCTTCGGTGGCTACCACCGGTTGTCCTCTTGCTCCTGACGCAACCCAAGCTGAGGCTGGCACATGTACCTTTTCTGCCCAGTAAGTGTCGTCCCGGGCCAGTTGTATGAATAGGCAACTCCAAGGTGCCTGTGCATTCCAATCTCGTGGAACTTGGCGACCAAGGCTCGCTTCCACAGTGAAGTGTCGGCGTAGTTTCGCCATCCTTTCTGCTCGGGCTGCATCTTCAGCGCTATAAATCAATCCCCATGCTGATGGCCACTGAGTCACAAGACGTTCAATGTGTTTGCCATAAACCTCGAGGGACGCTAAGGAAGCGATGTCCAGCATAATGCATGCCGTCTTCAGCACCCTCCAGGAGGCCAACCATCCCTGATACGTCGGCGGTCCTGGAAGGTCTCGTTGTAGATACGTTCCATCCCCTAGCGGTGTATAAATTCTGCACCTCTGGATCTTTGTCAACTTCCTCTCGAAGGGCCCAAACACGCCAAAGTCCACATAGGCAGGGGCATCATCTTTATAAACCCTTTTATGAAGAGCAGCAAGTTGGTTGGGGGATGGTTCTTCGGATTCTTCCGGCATAGCACCCATCACCGCATGGTATTTTTGTAACCAGGCAGTAACTTCACCTGCAGCTGGAGGTAATAGTTCAGAATCATCACTTTGATCGATTAAGGCCGCCATCTTTAAGACCTTTTCCTTTACCCCTGACGAGGTGGAATTTTGCCTCGACGTGTCGCTTGGTGTCGACTCCTGCCAAGGGTCAATGTCTTGGAATTCTGCCTCAGTTGCTCCCGTTTGGAAAGCCATGACTCTCCTCGACAGGCGCCATACCAACCCGATCTGAGTTGCTTGAACCGGGGTCAAGGCTCTGCCATCTGGCAATACCGCTTGTCCAAGACCTGACAACAGCCCCGTCCTCGGAAAGGCAGAGAGTAATCGCAAGTCGTCCTGGAAGTTTCCGACGATGTTGGTGAAAGCCTGCCACAACTCGTCACCCACGTTGAAATGGTTACGAGCTGCGTCTAGGCTGTCAAATCGATGAAGCTCACTCCAACGTCCAAACAGCGACATTGCAACTCGCGCCGGTCCCTAAAAGAAAGAAAGGAACCAGCGGAAAAATTCCTGGCCCCAAACCTAAGGCTTTTGGGCCCATGCTACAGGCCCACCCATCCACCCATCCATGGCATTTCCTAGTTGTTCTGTGCTTCTTTCAGAAGCCCTCAAAACAAGGTGGATCCCCACGATGCGAGCCATGCCCGGAAGGCATGGAAATCGCTGAGCTCATCAACTCTGAACCATTTGCTGTTAAAGCACGCACCGAAAATGACACCTACCCCATAGCCAGGCAACGGCCGTGGAGCGAGTGTGAAATCACTGGAAAATTGGGGCACAAGAGAAATGTGAGTGCCCGCAGTCACTCCTGTTTCTGCTAGCAAGAGCACATCAAGATCATGCATTTGAAAAAATGTGAGGGCATCCCAAAATTTTCCATCATCCAGCATGCCATTCCGGCGAGTCAAGCACGCACAGTTGAGGAAAGCGACTCTCACAACACGCTCGCGACTGTTTGCTAGTCACTCTTTCTCTTTCTTTCTCTTTCTTGTAGAAGAGCTGCAGAATGCAACTTCAATGAAAGGCCACACCTCATGTGATTCGTGAATGCCGCATTCCTTGGCATACTCCGTGAGGGCCTTTTTCCCCACCGGCCCAAGACGTTTGGCGACATCTTGGAAAAGTGATTTGAGGTGAGATTGGCACGACGGGCCAGCGTCCCAAAACCATTGCGACTTCAACAAAGCGGATCTCACTATTTGCACTTGACCAGTTTGGCCACAATTCAGCCTGGCATTCCCTGTGGATCGACCAGTGGCACTTGGATAAACGTGAATGTTGCCGGCTCCTTTGGCATGGCCAAATTTGGCTTGTAAGACTCCTGGCGAGACTAACTTGGGCGGCTCGCTCGCCAAGATTCCTTGTGATCTCAAATAGGTGAATCAAAGATGAAACAATGGAAGATGAAACAATGGAAGTGAATCAAAGAGGATATCAATCTCAACGGCCAGAAGGATCTCAAAGTCAACCAATGGCAAAGGCATTGGGACCTGTAGCCCTTGAGCAATGGAAAAGGCATTTCCTCAATGACCACTTGCCGGCGAGACGAGATTGTTCTCATTGCATCCGTGCTCAAGCGCGAAGCAAGCCACATCGACGTATTCAACATCCAGCTGCTTACACCTTGAGCGTGGACCTTTCTGGACGATTGACGCCGGGTGATGACCAACAAATGAAGGCCTGCAAGTACCTTCTGGTGGGATGCTATACGTATCCGGTCACCCGTGATGGTCGCTCATTGGTGCAAGTGCCTGGCAAGCCTGACGAGGACGTTGACCAACCTCTACCAGGACCTGATGTGGAGATGACGGATGTAGAAGAACCACAAGATCTACCTGAAGATGTTCTTCTTGAAGAAGACGATGTGGAGACGGAAGCTGTGGAATCACCCGCAACAAAAAGGGCAAAGTCGATGAACGAAACATGGAAGAAGCTCATCGAGCAGGCTGAGAATGTGACAGTTCGTCAGATGACATTTGTGGAGCCTGTGATAAGCCGGTCGGTGAAACATCTTCTTCCTGCACTTTCCAAAGTACATGCACTGGGATTGCCAATCTATCGTGTTCATTCAGACAGAGCACGAGAATTTTCCTCAGCAGAAATGCAAGATCGCAACATTTTGACGACGATGACATCTGGAAGCTCCTACAAGGCCAATGGACGTGTTGAGGCCGAGATGGGTATGGTGAAAAAATCCATCAGGACTTTGATCACTGCAGGAGGTTGCACTCTCTCTCAATGGCCTTTAGCTGCTCGTCACATTGGTGAACGTCGGTTGCGAAGCCAACTCAATCTTCTTGGGTGGCCAGTGGGTCGCTTGCTTCGCTTTAGCGCCAAAGCCTATGCACTGAGAAAATCATGGCAATCAAGATATGCTCCATGGCGTGAGGTGCGAGAACCAGTGATCATCTTGGGTCCTGACGCACATGCCTCACTTACCAACACGGGCTACTTCGTCAAGTCAGTCGACACAGGACGATGTTTTTACACTGATGACATCGTGGTGCCTGAAGCTCAACAACCAGCAGTGGAAGATCAGGCGCTTTATCTTCCAGAACGTCTTGATGATGCTCCACAACGACGTCACAGGACAAAAGCTCCGCTACCAGCAATTTCAATGTTGGACATTGAGGGGGAGGAGAAGATTGTGAATCGATTCCCCGAGATGTTTGAACCAACAACACCTTCAAATCATGGGGGTTCAAGTGATAGCTGGTCAATTTGTACGGTCACATCTTCGATGGAAAGCAGCTGGACTCCAAAATCAATTGAAGTTGAGGAGGAGGGCTGGTGGATCGGAGGTGGGGATGAGGAGGGGGCACCTAATAGTCAGGATGGTGGTTCACGCCTGACAGCCTCAAACGAATCTGGTGCCACAAGAATGGCCAGTCCAGCTGCACTGAGAACCTTGCACGTCAACTTGACGCACTATGTCGAGGACGAGATGGCGGTGTTGGATGGAACAGCTGCTGAACAATCTTTGTGGCTTGGCAACGTGACTGAAGCTCTCAAGATGAAAGCCATGATTGAAGAACAGCTGACAGAAGCACAGGTACATGGTGCTGATGAACTTCAAAAGAAGTTGGAGCAGGAGTTCCTGGTGACGAAGACGATCAGCAATGCTGAAGTTTGGGCTGATCTGGAGGCGTGGAGTGACTCAATACGCCAAAAATATGATCAACTTGTCAACAAGAAACAGGCCGTCAGGCAGATCACAAAAGCGCAGTTGCAACAAATGGCAAGTGAGATGAAGCTGCCAATTGAGATACTTCCTGGCAAGATGGTCCACACACGGAAGTCAGGCAGCGGTGCCTATAGAAGTCGCCGCTGTGATCTGTGGTAACTATGCTGGGCCTGACAACAACGAGCACTACGCTGGTGGAGTTGATGGACAACAAGTACGGGCGATGGTGCGAATTGGTGCTCTAAAGCAGTGGCAGATTGGATGCACAGATATCAGAACTGCCTTCTTGAACGCACCAAGGCGCGACAACAAACGCCTGATTGCGATGGAAATCCCTTCGGTCTTTCGGAAGCTTCAGCTGGCAGGACATCAACATCTATGGCTGGTGGATAAAGCTTTGTATGGGCTCACCACATCACCCCGTGATTGGGGACTGCATCGAGATGAAGTTCTTCCGACTGTCAGTTGGCATCGACGACGAGAAGGCCGTGATGTACTGGGATCCTTCAAGAAGACCTCAGATGAGAACATCTGGAGGATCGAAGAGGTCGACAAGATCTCG